TGCTCAACATCCCTAATCTTCAGGGAAATGAAAATTAAAACCACAATGAGATACCACCTCACCCCTGTCAGAATAGCCATTATTAAAAAATTAAAAAAATAGTAGATGTTGGCATGAATCAGTGAAAAGGGAACGCTTATACACTACTGGTGGGACTGAAAATTAGTACAACCTCTATGAAAAACAGTATGGAGATTCCTCAAAGAACTAAATGTAGATATATCATTCAATCTAGCAGTCTCACTACTGGGTATCTCTCCAAAAGAAAAGAAATCATTATATCAAAAAGACATCTGCTCCCAAGTGTTTATTGTGCATAATTCACAATTGCAAAGGTATAGAATCAACTTAAATGCCCATCACCTGATGAGTGGATAAAGAAAATGTAGTATGGAACTAGAGACCATTATCCTTAGTGAAGTATCTCAGGAATGGAAAAACACCACATGTCTTGCTAATAAGTGAGAGCTAACCGATTGGTATACACAGTCATAAAGTGATGTAAATGACAGTGGTAACTAAGAAGGGGTGAGGCATAAAAACCTACCTATCAGGTACAGTGTACACTATCCTGGTGATGGGCATGCTAAAAACCCTGACTTTAGCATTATACAATTCATCCATGTAAAAAAAAAAAAACACTTGTACCCCTTAATGTTTTGAAATAAAGAAAAAGAAAGGCAAACCCTCTCCCAGTGCCACCCAGCCCCTTGGCGCTAAAATAGAGGGCTATAGAATCACAAATGAACTCCATAAGTAAATTTCAAGTCCAGAGTTGAAGAGGGAAGCAAAAGCTCAGAGAAAAGCTGGGTTTCGGTTAAGGACCCTTAGAAAAGTATGGAGAATGTAAGTACTTTTCACAAGTAGGAATTTCAGAGGGCATAATGAAAGTGTAACTTGATGATTAGCAGGAGAACAATGGAACTGCTCTCTCAGCAAGAGACAGCTTGCTTGATATGCATAGAATTGAGAGGTAGTCATGGATTGCTGAACAGTTATAGTGATGATACTTCTACAAGGAACTTGCCTTTCCTTGGTCCAGCCAAGAGCTAGCTCTGGTAGCCCCACTGCTCTTCTTCTCTTTCTCTCTCTCCATGGAAGGATTTGTCCTGATTTTCTTTCCCTAGGGGAATTGTTTTACATAAAATAGTAGTAGGTAATTGCTTCTTCTAACCAAGCGAATATACAATTACAACTGCAGTCTCTGCTTATACCACTTACTAAACACAGTATGATGATAGAGATTAATAAGGTCATTGTAAACTGATTTCCTATTGAGAAATTAAAACTAAAGTGAAAAATTATTGTTAAAGGCACAAGCATATACACTTTAAAACTCTGGTTTTTGTATTTAATTGTAGGAACATGAAAAAAGAATGAGGTTTTAAAATTCTAGGAAAAGATGTACTTTAGGATTGCTGGGTTATGAAATTGTGGTTTCTTGTTTGTCATTTCCTTTTGAAAGGACAATGCTGGCCAGAGCCGTGCATTGTTAGTAACTCAAGCTCCTTCTACACTGGCAAAATTAAACTAATTTTCTTGATATCTTTGTTATAGTAAGGACAGAGAATAGGGGGCATAGGGAATCAAAAATACTGTTTAAGAATGTGTTATTACATACACTTGAATGTGTGTGTGTGAGCATATGCAGTCCTTCAACAGTATAATAAAGTCATATTCCAAGACAAAAGTCAGTAAAAACTAAAAATTCATGCTTGGAGTCATTCTGTAACCCTTCCCCAGTCAACTCCTTTATGCAAAATCCCATACTGGAAATAAAAAACATAAGCTCACTTATTCTGAGCAACAAACTAAACAGAACTATTTTTTCTCTCATATTCCTGTCTTTCTGATACATACATCTTAAGGACCCATAATTATGAATATTTTATATCAGGAGTTGTTCCCTGCTGGACTAGAGTTACACATAGGAATAAAGTGACTAGAGATAAGAAAAATGTCAAGAAATGGATTTTCAAGAGTGGACATCAGCAAAAATAATGAAAATAATATTTTATAAAGTTCAACTGTAATTCACATAATCCACCTGTTGGTAGTAGAGACTTTATACTCTTTTCCAAAACTTCAGAAAATATGTCACAGCATTTATATGAATAATGAGTTATTTGTTGAAGCTTATAAAAATTGGAAGCTTTATAAGTATCAGCTAAACCAAAAAATAATTTCTATTTCTTCTACCAAGGGGAATTTATGAAAGTTTTTCCCATCTTTTTCAGAAACCATGCTTCTCTGTACTCCCAAGAAATGGATTCATTAAGTAAAGTTATCAGTTCTCAGATACTTAATTGTTGAATGATTATAAAATGAAAGAGTGAACATTTTGTATATGGGCATGTATTTATATACATGTCTTCATGTATTCATTCCCACATGCATATACATACCCTTATTTGTTGAGTATTTTCCATGAAGCATGAGTCCAGGCAGAGAGAATAAAAGCTGCATGATTGTGGTAGATATGAAATGTGTAGTTGGTAAGGACGTGCTTTCCTGGGCCTCGGAGTTTTTGAAGGAGATTGGCACTGATTCCCAAGCAGAGCTGGCAGTGTAGACAGCTAGAGAGGTCATCTAAGCAGGTTATAAAGGGCCTTGAGAAAAAGTGACCAGCATGTTCTCATGCCTCCCTGGGTTGGAGAACTTATTTGTTGTTCAAAACCAAACTCAAGAGTCACTTCCAGGACTTTCCTAGATGTGGGAAGACTCAGAGTCAAAGAAAATAAACAGATAATTTAAAAAGCAGTTATTAACTGTAAAAATATTTTAAAAGTTGTATAAGGAAAGAAAGGGTAATCATAGAACACCACTTGGCCCAACCATATATAATATTTACATAGTCACAATAAAGAAAACACTGAATATGGATTTTAAGGGAAAAAGAGAGTAAATGAAAGATAATTATCCGGGGAGGGTGAAGTGGGGGAAATAGGGTTATGTACACTAGCTGAAAGTCTTATCTACCATGATAGAAAGTCAGTAGATAGGGTCTAAAATTGATGAATCAAGAGATATCACTTAAAAAATACAGAGAAGAAATGAGTTGGCAGTATGATCAGATGACAGGAGGAATGACAAATTAACTGTATTTTGTATGAAACTTTTGGCACTGTTAGGCTTATATTTGCATATAATACCATGATAATATTTTTAAAATGTTTTTTCAAAGAAGGCTTTCCTAAACCTGCCCACACCCCTCCATGAGCTCCCTGTGTAGTAGCTGCATTAAGTGGATGCAGCATGCCTGCCTCCCTTCCCTGACTGGAAGGACTAGCTTAGCTAGCTTATTCCTCTCTGTATCCTTGGAGCCAGGCCCAGTGTCTTAACACCTGCCAGTGCTTACTTATCATGTGTGGGAAGAACCGGTGAATGGGCTTACTGAGGAATGAACCAGCTGAATGGTTGGGATTGGGTTGTGGTGTTAAGTCTTTTAAGAATAGGAACCATAAAATGGTGCTTCACCCTATGTGGCATGTGTACTGGATTTGGCCCTTATAATTCCACTTCCTGAGTCAGCCCTTCTCGCTGTCCCTCCTCCTCTTGTGTTTAGATGACTGACAGTGACCAGACTAGACTCTCTGTGCCTTGGTGCTCTCTATTCTGCCTCAGCCTTGCACCCCACCCCAGCAGTACTCGCTTCCACCCCAAGTGATTCGTGCATCAGGGTTAGTCCAAACTTCCCAGTACTCTGCTTTTGTACATTCTTCTTTCAGAAACACAGGGATGCTTTACCCTCCTGAATCCTGTTCGTCCAGCTGCCCTAGACCCTGGCCTCACTGGCCATCCCACACTACTTCCTACTCCCCACCACCGCTCACCGTTCTGTCGCCAGTCCCATCTCATCATTATCTGACCCTCAGTCCTACTGCTACCTTTGCTGATGCCAGCCTCACAGAAGACTAGAGTAATCTCCATGGCCTGGAAATATAATTTTATTGTTGAGATATCTACACAGAAAATAATCTTCCATGTATTTAATCAATTAATCTTCCATGTATTAAATCAATAATTTAATCAATGATTGATTAAATTTAATCAATCAATAATCAATCATGATATATCTTTTGCTGTTCTACTATGGAAACAACCTCAGGTTTACCTCCATGTTAAAATCAACATTTCTAGATAAAAAAGGTTTGCCTTTAGAAAAAAATTACATAATGGACCTTATGTAAACTTTGCTTCTATACAAATAATGGAAGAGCCTGATATTTTAAAAGAAGCACATATAATTTTAATGCTATTTTCTTTAATTTCAAAAAAAATTTTTTTTGCTTTTGTCCTGGAGTCTTAAATATGTTTTAGTTTCTTGCCAAATGATTATTTTTCCCTTTCTTTAACTCAGACCATTTAGAGAATTCATTTGATGAAGTATTGAGGGGGTCTAATTGTTTAATGGGCAGAAATTAGTCCTTGTAAGAGTGCTTTAAAAACTGGCAAATACCAGACATAATTACAAATTCTTTAGAAGAATCTATTTCTATACAATAGGTTAATTGGTTATACGTAGACAGTGCTGGCCACAATTCAAAGCCAGCTTCTGATTTCATCCATGACTTTAAAAAAAAAAAATATAAGTGGCTAATTGTGATCAAATTAGTCCCCTTGAAGGAACAATTGGCTACTTATCCCTGATTTTCAAGATTTAAGTGGTCTAACACACCTGCAATTTACCTTCCTTCAGACACAGTGACTACAGTTACAGAGTTATTTACCAAAATTGTCATAGCCTTGTCTCATGATGGGAACTCTGTAATCAGATGACCAGTATATAATTTAGATTATGGTGATTTCTTTAGAAGAATCAAGTTAATTTTTAAGAAAATTTAAGCCAAAACAAATAGATTTGCCTAGAGGGAAAAATTAGTTTGGGGCCATTGATCTGGATAAGTGCCTCAACTCTCTAGACTTCCAACACAGAGATGGTTTATACAGTTATGTGATTTTGGACGGTACTTATTCTTCTTTGCATCTTTCTATTTTAGTGGTGCAATCTATGCATTGACTTGGTAGCATTCACCAGTGAAATATTCAAGGGGGCAGTTTTCCAGTCATTGGATGGAATTGTTGTCTCGGCTAACTGTAAGCTACGGAAGATCTTCACCTTAAAATCAAAGCCTCAAGACACTGCTGATAAAGATGGTATGTACAAGTTGCTATCGAGATTTTTGAATTCTCTGATGTGTTTTTTTAAATTAGCCATGCTTTGGGGATAGCTTGGGTGTGTGGTAGCAGTTTGATTTTATGTCTGCTAAAATAAATTTGTCCACAGTCATGTTCTGGATCAAATGTTTATATTTACTGTAGCTGAATATCACAAAATGTATTAAGTTTTCTTTTTGGGGTTGTTTTTGTTTATGGTAATACTATTTGCAAACAACAGAATCCTTTTTAAGTGATTGAAAAAGAAAAGGAATTTACTTTAGGAAATGAGCCGGTTCATAGTATCTCGAGGATATCTGGAGAGTCAGGCTTAGAGCCTACGGTCAAGAAGAAACCCAGGCCCTACCGGAAGACTCCTCCAGGAACGATCCTCCCACAGCTGCCGCCGCTGCACAGACTCCACAAGCCACTCGAGAAGGCTCGGCACTGGGTTTCAGAGTTTCTATTTCAGCAGCCCTTGAAAGCAGGACGTTTTCGTCCCCCTCACCTGAAGTATATTTATTCTTCTTTGTGTTTCTCTCTACCGAGGAGAGTTCAATGTGCCTGTTTCTGATTTGTGGAACTTGGGTTATATGTTGCAGGGGAGGCTGGCAAAGCAAATGTCTGCTTCCTGACTAGGAAGGCAGGTCTCGTTGTGTAGGAAAGTCACCAAATTAGGATGGGCGTGCGAAAGATGTTGGGCATTCAATAAGCTCTACAGTTGCCTGCTATACTGTGTTATTACTCTGTACATTTCATGAAGTCATATGGGAGAAATCATATTAATTTTCTAGTGATCATGTTAAAATGAGAAACAGTTGTGTTCTTCCTCATATAATTTCTAGAGGGATTAGAAATATATACATTTATTATTCATAATTTGATTTATAAACATACTCTGCGGGTAACTTAGCCATCTAGGATTCATAAGGCAGCACACCATACTGCTAAGATGGTTTTAAATAACTAAAAGTATTGAAAGAACACCAACGCTTCCTTTTGATTTTTGTCTGGGATTATTTTTTAAAATATCAATTCTTCTAGAAGCCCAGGAAGCAGGGCTGCACATACGATATCAAAGGTGATTTGTTAGAAATTTGTATCTAGACTTTAGATTTGTATTTATAGTAGAGACAGGGTCTCGCTCTTGCTGAGGCTGGTTTCGAACTCCTGACCTCAAGCAATCTGCCCGCCTTGGCCTCCCAGAGTGCTGGGAGCCACCACGCCTGGCCAAAGCCACCGCGCCCGGCCAAAGATTTCATTTTAAACATGGCACCCAGCTAATAAAAAGCCTCAAAATTTCTAGAAATATCTGTGCACTGTACATCAAATCATAGGAGGTAAATCGCAAATTAATATTTTAAAATAAATGTAAAGAGAATAGTAGATCAAACATGGCAAATTGAATGCATATTTTAATCTTCGATTCTTCCTCAAGCCTCACCACAACTATATGTGTAAAAAAGGTGTCAACCCACCAGGATAAAGAGTACAGGTGAGGAGACATCAAACAGGCAAAAGATGTTTGTAAATTTTGTAAGATTAAGAAATGACTTAGAAGAGCAAAGAAAGCTGAAACCTTTGGGCTTACAGAGAAGTTGCCAGTGAATTTCAGAGGCTCAAGAATTGGCAGCATGGCCGGGCGCGGTGGCTGACGCCTGTAATCCTAGCTCTCTGGGAGGCCGAGGCGGGCGGATTGCTCAAGGTCAGGAGTTCAAAACCAGCCTGAGCAAGAGCGAGACCCCGTCTCTACTATAAATAGAAAGAAATTAATTGGCCAACTGACATATATATATAAAATTAGCCAGGCATGGTGGCGCATGCCTGTAGTCCCAGCTACTCGGGAGGCTGAGGCAGAAGGATTGCTTGAACCACAGGAGTTTGAGGTTGCTGTGAGCTAGGCTGATGCCAAGGCACTCACTCTAGCCTAGGCAACAAAGCGAGACTCTGTCTCAAAAAAAAAAAAGGATACTGCATCTATGAAATACAAATAATTTATTCTTGCTTTACTTCAAAAAACACTTTATTGGTGTATTATGTGTTATTATACACTTTGTACATACATATAGAAACATGCACAGATCTTAAGTGTGCAGCTTGAAGTATTACCACTAAGTGAAGCCATTTCTGTAACCACTACCTAGATCAAGCATTACAAGCATCCTAGAAGACATCATGCTTATGTCTCCTAATCATGACCACCTCCCTTCTCCTTAAAAGTAACCTTTATCCTACCTTCTAACAGATTAATTTTACCTATTTTTATCTTTATATAAGTTGAACAAGTACTGCTTGTTTTTCCATTCTTGGGATACTTCACTTAGTAGAATCGGTCCCAGCTCTATTCAGGATAATACAAGAGGTTCTATATCACCATTGTTTTTTGTGACTGAGTAGAACTCAGTGGTATAGATATGCCACATTTTATTAATCCACTCATGTATTGATTGACCTTGAACTTCTACCTTCAAAAGTCTGAGGATTCCACATAAAAGGAGGATACTAAAAAAAAAAAGTCTAAGGAAAAATTATTTTCAATCTAAAATTTTGGACTCATCCAATCTCACAATCAAATGAATACAGAATGAAGATACAAGATCTCAAAAATGTATTTATTTACATCCTTTCTCAGAACTGGAAGATATTCTTCACAAAAATGAAAGAGTAGATCAAGAAAAAGGAGTACAGAGAATCCAAGAAATAAAGGATTTCATCCAGGAGAAAAGCAGAGAGAAAATCTGCTCCAAAAAAGTAAAGTTTTTAAGAAAAAAAAAGTGAATTTCCAGAATGAAGGTCAAAGGAATTCAAAGGATGAAGTTAGGGCAGTTCATCTAGACAGTAGTCAGTCCAGAGTTCTGCATAAAAATGGCGGCTTTCAGGGGGAAAGTCTCCAGGAAAAAAATGTGTCAGATAGAGTATGATGTGTTTGAACATAAAGAATAAAATTGATTGTGATTTTACAGTGGTAATGGGGAGTTCGGAAGAATTAATGTTCAGAATGTAGAAAACTGATGACAAAAAGCAGTGACCAACTTCAAGAAAACAAAAAGTTGTACAAGAAAAAATGTAATCATATGAGCACAACTTTTTTTTAATAGACTTTGTTTTTTGAGCAGTTTTAGATTCGCAGCAAAATTAAGTGGACAGTACGTAGAGTTTTCATATGCCCCTTGTCACCACACATGCATAAGCCTTCTCCTCTGTGAACATCCACACCAGAGTGGCACATTTGTTACAGTTGAGGAACCTGCACTGAGATGTCACTATCACCCCAAGTACATAGTTTACATTAGAGTTTATTCTTGGTACTGTACATTCTTTGGGTTTTGACAAATGTATAATAACATGTATCTACCACTATAGCATCATTTCAGAATAGTTTCACTGCCCTAAAAGTCCTCTGTGCTCCAACTATTATATTTATTCCTCTCTTCCCCCAACCCATGGCAACAACTGATCTTTTTACTGTCTCCAAAGTTTTGCCTTTTAAGAATGTCATATAGTCAGTGTTAAATGGTATGTAGCCTTTTCAGATTGTCCTCTGTCACTTAGTAATGTGCATTTAAAGTTTATTAGTATCTTTTCATAGCATCATATCTCAGTACTTCTTAGCACTGAATAATATTTCATTGTAGGCATGTACCACAGTTTATTTATCCATTCAACTATTGAAGGACATCTTGGTTGCTTCCAGGCTTTCACAGTGTGAATAAACCTGCTATAAACATTCTTATATAAGCTTTTTATGGGAACATAAGTTTTCAACTCATTTTGGCATGCCAAGGAACACTATTACTGAATCATATGGTAATAATGTGTTTAGTTTTGTAAGAAACTGCTAAACTGTCTTCCAAAGTGGCTGCACCATGTTGTATTTCTACCAGCAATGAATGAGAGTTCCTATTACTCCACATCCTTGCCAGTATTTGGTATTTTCAGTGTTTCAGATTTTCACCATTATAATAGGTGCATAGTGCACAGCTTTTTAATATAAGATTATTAATGTAAAATACTGAATAATTTATCTAAAAATTATGAAAAATCATATTAGGAGGATGAGGAGAGGGAATGAGATGGGGTGGTGGTTTAAGAGTACTGAATCCTCTTTTTTCAAAATAGGAAGTCAGGTTTTATCTAAAACTGGTAGTAGAAGTATACACTAGAAGATTTAGAAGACACAGCTGAAAGTTATTGAAAGACACAGCTGACAGTAGTGGCCTCTGCACTGTGGGACTTGGGGGTGTGTGAGGGGAAGGGCAGCAGCAGGGGGTCTTCTTCATAAAATCTTTGCCTAAGCCAATGTCTATAAGAGTTTTTCCAACATTTTCTTCTAGAATTCTTATAGTTTCATTCCTTAAGTTTACGTCTGTTATCCACCATGAATTGATTTTTGTAAGAGGTGAAAAGTGTGGATCATATTTCAGTGTTCTACCTGTGACTATCCAGTTTTCATAGCCCTATTTATTGAATAAGGATTATTTTCTCCCATGTATGTTTTTGTCTGCTTTGTCAAAAATTAGATGGCTATATGAGGATGATTTTATACCTGGGTTCTCAGTTCTGTTCCATTTGTCTATTTCTCTGTTCTTGTGCTAATACAATGCTATTTTAGTCACTATAGCCTTGTAGTGTAGCTTGAAGTCTAGTAAATTGATGCCTCCCAATTTGGTCTTTTTGCTTAAGATTGCTTTTGCTATATGGGTTCTTCTCTGGTTCCATACAAAACGTAGAATTATTTTTTCCAGATCTGCAAAAAAAATGATGTTGGTATTTTAATAGGGATTGCGTTGAATCTGTAGGTCACTTTTGGTAGTGTAGACATTTTAACAATGTTGATTCTGCCAACCCACAAACATGGTATGGTTTTCCACCTGTTTACATCCTCTGCTATTTCCTTCCTCAGTGTTTTAAAGTTCTCCCTGTAGAGGTCTTTTACCTCCTTAGTTAAATATATTCGTAGATATTTTATTTTCTTTTTGCTATTGTGAAGGGTATTGAGT